GGGGCGGCCGGGGAGGCGACGTGCGGGCCCCAGGTGCCTCCCCCGCGCTCTCCAAGCCGGGTTCTGGGGAGGCCGGGGGGTCGCACCCCGTTTCTGACGCATACAGAAGGAGGTGTGAGGTGGAGGTGGCGTGGGCGCGGAGGACAGGCGCAGGAGGCGGAGAGCGGGAGGGGCCCTGGGTGGGTGTCCTGGGTGGGTGCCCTGGGTGGGGGCCCTGGGTGGGTGCCCTGGGTGGGTGCCCTGGGTGGGGTGCCCTAGTGAGGGTGCCCTGGGTGGGGGTGCCCTGGGTGGGAGCCTTAGGTGGGGTGTCCTGGGTGGGGTGTCCTGGGTGGGTGCCCTGGGTGGGTGCCCTGGGTAGGGTGCCCTGGGTGGGTGCCCTGGGTGGGGGGCCCTGGGTGGGTGTCCTGGGTGGGGGGTCCCTTGGGTATGGGGGTTGGAAGCGGCTTCCGTGGGATCCCAGCACATCTCGGAGTTAAAGGCCGGCCGGCTCCCACCCCCTCAGACACCGGCCGCGGAGACCCCTACACATTCACACCCGGAGCCCCTGGTCGGCCGCTCAGCGGCTCTGCTCAGGCCCGGCCACTGGGGCCCAAACAACCCCCGGCGCATGTCTGGGGGCACCCACGCACAGCTGCTCCCTTTGTAGAGAAAGCGTATCGCGTAAAGGTGTCACGTCCTCTCTGGGAGGCTGAGGCAGGAGAATCCCAAGTTTGAGCCCATCCTGGGCAACTTAGTGCGTGACTGTGCGAGATTCTCAAGAGAATAAAGAGGGCTGGAGTGCAGAGGTGTGGCTCCGTTCGCAGGCCCTGGTGGACATCAGTATCAAAAGAACAAAACAAAAGAAATGAAAACCGTCTGGAATGAACACTTATCCAGGGACCCGTGTGTACCCGCGAAGGCCCAGCTGTCAGGACACAGCTGCGCGCGCACGAGCACGCGCCCGGCCTGGGAGGCCCGCCGTGCAGGGGGACGATGCCCGTAGACGCCGCCCATGAGCGCAAACACACGTGCCGTGCGACCGCACACGCGCACACACCCAACCTGTGCGCGCCAGCGCGCCCGCCTGCCTGCACGGCTGCACACGGCCCTCTGCGCACACGCACACGCGCATGCACACCTGCCTGCCTCGGTCACCCAGAACCCAGGCACACCCAGGAAACAAACCGGAGGTCCCCCTCACCGGCCTCGGCACAGGCCTTTTCTCTCCGGTGCTGGGGACTGAATCCACGTACTCCTAACCGAGGTCAATCGCATCCCTTTCTGTCTTTTATCTGGAGACAGGGTCTCACTAAGCTTCCCAGGCTGGGCTGGAATTTGCAACCCCCCTGCCTCGGCCTCCCATGGTGCTAGGATTGCAGGTCTGCCCCATGTCATGGGTGCCACCAGCACTGAGGAATGAGGAAGGGGCAGGCCGTGCGTGAGTGTGAAGCGGGCTTGTCACACAGCTGGCGACATCACTAAAAAGCACCACGCACCCAGCGTTTCCTGGGCACGGTGCCGAGTCTCCGTGTCCCCGCTGATCCTCGCAGTAGCCCCATTTTACAGATGAGAAAAGCTGAGGCCCAGAGACGTTTATACTTGCCCGGTGTCCCAGAGCCAGGGTGGCACTGGTTGATTCCGTGGCTTGGCTGCCCATCCCTTGTCCTGCCAAGGGACGCCAGCGAGGGCACCCCGCCCTGCACCTCCCACGCCCTCCCAGGATGCCGCTGCCCGCAAGCCCGGCTGGCCGGAGCCCTGCAGCTAGCTGCGGGGAGGCCGGAGCGCGCGCCGCTTCGGGCCCCGGGGTGTGTTTTCATCAGCGGAGACCAGGCGCGTCCCGGAAGGCCCGTGGCGGACATTCCGAGAGCCGCTGCGGGCACGCGGGCAGGAGGGC